AAATAACTTCTCTGCAGGCAGGCTGGCAGCCCTGTAACCCTGAATCAAATCAACTGCCATTTTGAAGAGTTGCATTCACCTCCCCCCTCCCCCAGATTCAGAATTTCTTCATGGTTCCTTCAGAACCCAACACTGATTTTAAAAAAATCCTCAAAGTGTTAGAGAAAAACATTAAAATTTTTATGGAGTTTCTTTCAATTGTACATCAGCTCAAGTACTCACTCGGCATAGGCAGCTAAAACTTCTACCCAACCAGCTCTAAAAAAAATAATTTCCTTCTTCACTTTGTTACCATGATCATCTGGGCTCTGGAGGTCAGAGGAAAAGCCAAATCCTGTTATGGCAGCTGGTGTTTGTTCAGAGGGTTTGCCCACAGTTATGTATTGTCTAAATGAATGTGTGTCCTGTGCTCCTGGGCAGGAGTCAGAGCTACCTGGTATCCACCTGCAAGCCTTCCAAAGGATCATGTGAGGGGTAAGTTCTGGTAGTAAACACTTTTCACAGGACAATGGGATCATTCAGGAGGTCTCCAACCTGCTGTTCAAATCTACAGGATCAGGGCTTTATCCAAGAAAAGCTCCAAGGATGGGAACAGCACAACCTCTGGGAAAACTTCTCCACTGTTTGACTTCGCACGGTGAAAAACTTTTCTGAATATTCATTCTGAGCCTCTTGTTTGCATTTATGCCTGTATTTCTCTTCTTCCCACCATGTACTACTGTGTAGAGCCCATCTGCCTTCTCTATCCCCTCCCCATGGGTGCCAGCAGGCTGATGGTGGGACAACCCCCCGCCCCAGCTTCTCATGGCTGGGCAGGCACAGTCATGGTTTCCTCTCATGGAATATAATGGGAGAAGCAAGATGGTATTTGAAAATACAGCTGTGGATGATTTCCAAAGCCATAAAACTTTGGAAATCATTCCCTTACTTGTTAAAAACTGTGAAAATGTCAGAAGTGGGGCTCAAAAGGCCACTATTAATTTTGACACCCTGCACCTGAGAGAGCAAAGCTGCTCTCAATTTGAGCTGAGCTCCATGGAGTGGTTAAAAGAAAAATCTCCAGGTCTTATTTTTCTGGACTTCTTGCTTGCAGAGGACTTGTATACAGTTCATTTACGGAACATAAGTAATTCCCTTTCCCTTCTTTCCCTGTCACATCTCCTGAGATTCACAGCAATCTGTGAAAATGAGCTTCACAATTTATTTATGCCATATACAGAAGAAAACTTCATTTGTTTTAAGCTGCTGCATGATGGCCACCCTGGGTGTTCTGTAGTTTCCACATGAGAAAATCCAGCAAATTCCAGTCTCCTAATTACCTTCAAATCCTTCATAATTTTATATAGATCTCATCCCCCTTTCTGAGTCACCTCTCTCCCAAGCTAAACAAGTTGCACTTACACAGCTGCCATTTTCTATCTCTGATCTTTTTTGTTACCATTCTTTGTATCTTTCCTATATCTGTTAGACACATATCTTAGATGAGGAATTCAGGTATACACACATACCGTACAGATGAGCTGTAGGATTTTACAGTGACATGATAAAATGCCATCCAGTTACTTCCTGTTATTTTTAATATTGTAGCTGCCATTAAATTTAAAAAATAGAACAGCCTCTACAGTTTTTTCACCTCAAAATTGCAACCACTGAGAAAACAGAGCTATTTCCTTAACCAGAAATCCTGAACACAGTACAAATCTACTCTAAAGGCTGATGTTAAGAAAATATGAGGAAAATCCAGAAAATGCTAGACATGATCAGATCATATAAGCTGTAAAATTAGCTACTTTAGAAGTTTGATGGGAAACCTGTTTAGCTTGGATTGGTAATGGCTTCAGAAGACCACAACACAAAAGCCTGCAGACAGATTTCATATAAATGTGCTTTATTGCAGAGAAGTTACATTATTTACATGCTGCAACACATTACAACATAAATCTATTAAGTATTTCATGGTGGATGCTGTTGGTTGCCAGATAACATTGTCATAAGAACCACATTATAAAGTGAAGAGACTTACAGCTTTATATACTCTACAACTTGGAGTAGCTAAAATGTTAAAAGTCAAAGGCAGTGTTTGCTCAGGCCTGCCTGTTGTCATATGCATGCAAAAGCCTAAGGAGAGCAAATATAAAAGTATTGTCCGGTTTCAAGTCTATGATGCCACCAAAGCTGACGATAGGTGTGTACTGATTTATATTTTAAAGCGCATAATCTTGCATAAATTATACAAGTCTAATAAGATTGGTATAAATCTAATTCTTTATAAACCATGTCTTAGAAATAAAGGAGAAATGCAGCTTGCACATGCATTTAAAAGGACAACCTAGCAAATGTTTGTGACCTTCATGTTTATTGTCTTTTCTCTGAACAGATATGCTAGAAAACATCTTTATAACATATTTATTCTAGAGTTGCACTTCTCTTGGCTGAACGATGATAATGAAACTCCAGAAAAAGACAACTAAGCAATCTAGCCCATATTTGCTGGTGGAGAAAAATCTATGAAATACAGAACATTATTTATGTCTAACTTAGTATGTCTTCATTAAGCAATGTTTCTAGTAGCATCATAGTGAAATAGAATAGTTGTGTGAAGTTTGGCCCCTCATTTTCTTAAATGTGAAATAATTTTAAGTCCCAATTGAATCTGTAGTCCAAAGATCAGTTTCTTAAAAGACTGGGGAAAGCTTTGTTGTCTTCTAAAGGAAAGTTCCCCAGTTGTGTCAGTCTTAGGGGATGTGACTACAATGAGCCTAAAGAACCATAACAGACACTTTTTAAGAAGTGAAGGAAACGGTCAGGATGAAAAAAATCAAACCCAAACGAGAATATACAAACCAGTGCCTTCCCTGGTAAACCAGCTTTTTACTTGCTGTGCAACTGGGCTGTTGTACACCAGCCAAGGACTGGGCTTTGTTTCTGTGTTTCTAATGAAGTTATCTTTTAAAAAGAGAAAGAAAGGGAAAAGAAACCAAGCAAGGAATTATAGATACATAGCAGTGGCACAGACACAATCATGCATGAAGGGCTTGATCCTGCCAGGAATGCAAGGGGCAGTGGTACTGTGCGGACACTTTGCCAGTGTGGATCCCCTCATCCTTGGTGTGTGCTGCACCCCAACACGGCTCCCACAGAGCAGGGCATGGGCACTGTGTCCTTGCTCAGCTCTGAGGTTGAGGATGGAGGGCCAGACGAGCAAGGGCAAGAGGGTTGGTGCCTGCTCCTTGCGACCATCTGTCTCCAAGAGGCAGTGAGAACACACAAATATCTAGTTTCATGATTCCTCCATGGATTCCCACTTCTAACGTCACTGCCTGGGTCTGACAAAGCACTAGTTTTGTGAGTCAGGGCAGCCTGCAATAAGCTGTCCCCCCATCCCGTTCCCACAAACCACTGCTAAGATGGGCTGCAGAACCTCCCTTTGAGGGTAGGGGAGGTGTGAGGTGGTAAGCATTTCATCAGGTTTAAAACTGTGTATTTCTCTGCATACAGGGTCAGTGTGCTCCTGGAGGACCCCCAGGAAGCCATGTTCCCAGGATGGACTTCTTCCCATAGAAATATAGGGTTACTTTCTCTCTGAAGAGCTGATCAAGTCCCACTGAAGTTGACAGAAAATTTACAGACAAATTCCACTAGTGTCTGGGACTGGGAAGGGAGAAGCTGAGCACACCAAGTCTAACCTCAGCTCTTTTCCACACTAAGGACAGAGCTGGATTTGGGCTGCACATAGGATGCCACTGGCACTGTGTGTACAAAGTGGGTGCACTGATGTCCAAAGCACTCAGGCTCATATGTCTGACTCCCTTTCATGGGGGAAACAGGGATTCTGGGTTGCAAGGGTGCCAGTCAGATCTCCTAGGCCCTACAAAAGAGGGGTGGGAGAGTCGGACAAGCCCAGGGTAGTAAAGACCTGAGGCAGCATGTCCTTGTGGTGTAACTGAGCATCATTCTGGCTAACCAGGTAGGCTGGGGCAGCTCAGCCACTTAATCTGGAGCTATGAGGAGAATTTATAAGTGAGGTCAATGTGTTTAGACAGCACCAAGACCTGAGCCAACTTGTCCCCAGCTGGCTTAAGTGTTGGCATATTCCAGATTAGGGCTTAGCAGAGGCAGTAGGAAGATCAGATATATCTTGATCTGTCAGTCTAGACATGCCCATAGACTCCTCTCCCTTCTAAAGGACAGAAAAAGTCCTCCTCATGCCCAGGTTGTCTGTGCCCCTCTGCTCATTGCATTTTATCTTAAGCCACTTTTCTATGATGCCACAAAAATCAGTTTATACTACATACGTGTATGTGCATGTGTGTATTAGATATGACATTTATATATATATATTAAACATATATAAATATCTATTTTTATATATATTATATATATATTAAACAACACGTTCTATTCAATCACCCTCATTTCATGTTCTTCCACTGAATCCCATCACTTCTCTCAAATTGCACAAGTTCTTTAGGACTGAGCTGTCTTTGTTTTGGAGTACACTATGTATAGCCAGTTTCAGTGAACAGCACTTTACTGGTACCACATTTAGATGGCTGGGGGTTTTTCATAATTACTGATACTCCTTGGAATCTTTACAATATGTCCTCAGGCCCTGATGGTGAACCATCACTAAGACTCATAGTTGTGGATGGGCCATTTATGAATTAAGCTCATATGCATGATGAGGACTGTAGCTATTGCTGAAAAGTAGCACTGTATTAAACACTAACTTTTACTGTAAATGTACATATAAATTTTAAAAAAATCAAAGCATTTTGGAGAGTGGGAGAGAAGTGCCATCATTTCCATTCCCATTACCTCTTACAATTGCATGTATGGGGAAGAGTAATATTTTGGACTTCTCACTCAGGGGCGAAGTTTGTGAGGTTTGCCATCAGGGGTAAACAGTACAGTGTTGTTCTATATAGGTTAGCTAATATACTTCCCAGAGCTGTGTGGTTTTAGTAAAACAGGTGATCATTTCTGGGGTATATTCACTGTCATTCTTTCTTACCTTATTTAGCAGGATATGCTCAGCAGGGAATACTGAATAAGATCATCACAATCAATGTTTAAAGTAAGAGTTCTGTTTTGTTAGATGATATTTTCCAATTAGTAACAAAAAACCAGATAAGTTGTCCTAATATGCAGCTAAGACGACTGAATTTCCACTACTAACAAAGAACATTAACAGGGAAGTGCATAACTTACTGCATATAAAACTCCTGAATAATACAGTATCAAACTATAAATTTAAATAACAGAGAGTAAACAAAAAAATTCACTATATAAATCACAGGAAAGGAAAAAAAAATAATCTCCAAAGATCAAAAGAATTTCCTGATAAGAATTACGGCTTTCATAGCCAGTGAAAGATTACTGCAATTCTATATATAAACAAAATGATATTTTAACTTGCAATTAAAAGAAAGTATCTGCAGATTGCATAAATATGTTGTTGTGTCACATAATATCAAAGTTATTTGCAAAAATTATACAATCTGGAATGCTTTAATATGAGACACAACGGTGTACTTAAACATATAGTAATAAGAAAATGAGAGCAACCATTATAGAAAATATTTTTGGGATGCATTGAGTTAGCAGTGCTATTTAGATTAAATATATAAAGTGAAAAGTCGTCATTTTAATAAGCTGCTCATTGATACCCCTTTCTGCCATCAGAACATTTTCTGTGCCCTACTTCTGCTGGATCTTTAAAGTCCCAAGGGCAAGTTAAAGCAAGTTACGGCATCCAGAAATAATTCGGTTAAGATCTACACTGTGCGTTTGTTATCATCATGTTATTTTTCTTTTAAATGAGAAGTGATTTCACAAAGGCAGATTTCTTTCACTGACACAGTAAAATCCTTGGAGCAGGGACCATATTCTGGGCATTGCTAATCACATTGTTGGCACTCAACAAATAAATAATAACAACATCAATGATAATTTACTTCACTTCTACTTATTTGTAGTGCTGATTCCCTTGATTTAAGTGATGCTCCTTAGGAATTTTCAGATCCTTTTGGCCTAAGTCCTCTCTGTCCTTCCTGTTGTCTTTCTTCTCAATGTTGCTACCCTCCTCAGTCCAAAAGCCTCTTATTTTCGAGGTGCTGCTGTTTTATTTGCACTTATAGCAGAGGTGTTCAGTAAAGCTACACTTCTTTCTGCATTTGGTAAATCTGGTGTATCATACTCCCAAGGGCAGACTTCAGCTCGAGATGCTAAAGGTTGCTGTAAGAAACTACTTGGCTTATGGGAGTTAGATGAAAGCACATTTCCCTCGGAAGAGGCATTTTTTTTCTGTTCTGCCAATTTATTGAGGTTTTCCTTTTCTGCTGCTTTCTGGGGCAGCTCCTCCCGCTCCCCAGGACAGGTATTAGGTGTATATTTATTAACATTCTCACACTTCAGCCCAGGAGCGACCTGAGACTTGGAATTTGACTGGTTTTTCTCATTTTCAAAGACCTGCTGCTCTTGTGTCTCCCGAGTGGCTGCCTCCACCTTCTCTGAGCTCTTTTGATTTGACTGTTGGTACCCCTCAGGTGTCTTCAGCTTATGATGAGTCTTCCCCTTTGGCTGGGAAGGGTGGTTTTTCTCTGCCTCTGAGGAAGCAATAGATACATGTTTTTGAGCTTTAGAGTCAAAAGGCACAGGACCAGGAATTTGGTCATATATCTCCCAAGGACAAACTTCTCCTCTGTCGAAATTGTCCTTGTGCAAAGACTTACCTGGGCCTGTGTCTGGATTTGCAGGTGTTTGACTAACCCTTTGCTGTTTAATAATTCCAGATTTATGGGCTTTCTTTGTTTCCTCAGAGTGGGTAGAGTTTTTCCTGTGGGAATCCTTATGTTCCCCCTTATCAGAGGCTGAGTGCTTTTTGCTGGCCTCCTTACCCTTCTGCTGAGGTTTATGAGATTTAGTGCTTTCTTCTAGACTTTGTGTTTTACCTGTTAGTCCCAGAGTCTTTTCCTTGGCACTAGCAATAACACTGAGGGATTTTTGTAATACAGACGTTCTTGGATGCAGAGGTTTCTTATCAGCACTTAAATTATGTGCACTTACTGATTTGCACACCAAAGGGACCGATTCAGTGGAGACAGCTTCAACTTTTTCAGGAGCATTTTTGGTTAATTTGTTACCATTCAAGGAGTCCAGGAGTGTTTTCTCAGCAGGTATAACTTCTGCACTTTCTGTAGTTAAGCCATTTGGTTCTTCTGTTTGATCCCTAACATGATCGTAAGTGCTGTGGGACTTTTTTAAGGAAAAGACCCTGTTTTTCAAAGTCTCTTCCTTTGGCTTTGCACAGCTTGTGGAATCCTGTGCATTTTTCTTCAGTGTGGCCAAGCTCTTCACAGCGCTGTGCTCCATCAAGTCCTTCTCATCCCTGGAGCACTGCCGGGTGACAGTCTCAGGGATTTCTGTAATACGTCGCATTATCGAGCGCCCCAAGCCCTTTTTAGAGCACCTTTTTTTCTGGAGATGTGGATTATTAGCAATCATCTTTTTCCTTTTATAGATTTCAAGCTGGGCATATAGTTTCTTCAACTCATCCTGCAAAGCAAAGTGAATGGCAAAACTAGTATGTACAGAGCGAGTACAGTCAAACAAGCAGCCTGATGAGTGCAAGATCTATTGCTCTAACAATGGCATTAAACTTACTTCACTGTCTTTTCTAATTCTTGAATTTGCTATTTCTCCACCAAATTGAATCCAATTTTTTTTCCACTTTAAAAATGTTACTTTCCACAGCACACATAATTCATATGCATTTATGCTGTACGTTTCACATTTTGCAATGCTGTGTTGTATGCTTTCCTGCTGATCTCTATAGCTATTCTTTATTCTCAGAATATAACCCCTTTTATCATGTAAAATAGGAATCATTTTTTTCTTTTAAGCACGTTTTTAAAATTTTATCTATGCAGTTATATATGCTTATTTATATGTTACATACAAATGGCTAATCACACTGAAACCAAATGTTGTTAGCACTTCAAGATAATTCAAAGAGCCTATGTAAACTGATAAACAGCTCTTGCTGTGGATGATTCCTCCTCCTTAACTGCCAGTATGACTTTTACTGCAACTAATAATTCAGCATCTCTTCACACTAGTGAATACTTTCCATGAGATTTTACATGACCTGATACCACAATCATAAGAGACCTAAGCTAGCCTTTTTCAGCTGATATCTGCAAAGAAAGATAAATGCATGCAATTTGGAGTTTACTTGTAGGAAAAAGTGTTGTTCTTGAAAATGAATGCTATTCAAATCAGTTATATGTACCCGAATATCTTCAGGATCCAAACTATGTTCACTCCATGCTGAATTGATACTGCTGTTCAGGTAGGATCCAGATCGACCCATATCGAGCTCATCTTCATAAGCTTCTGTAGCTATATCATCTCTTGGGTTATTGCTTGAATGTGAAAACTGCAATAAGTATTCATAAAAGAGAGGTTGCCATGAGTGCAAAAGTTTACTCCAACATCACTGTAAGAGCTTACAGCAGTTTTTATGGTACAATGATCCTTCTACAGATTTCATGCGATTCTCGAACTCAAAACACTAGCTATAATCTTCACTGGCATAAGTAGTGTCCTATAGAATATCAGTATTGTGTGGAAGGAACTCTTATTAAGATGCCTTAACTTGATAAATCTTAGAGATTTACATAAGAAAAAATTCCTACTTGTTTTGATGCTTGTTTAAACCTCTTTAAATGGCATTTCAATTAAGCTAGGATAGAAATAGACTTTCAGACAGTATTTTCAATTAGGCAGCTGAAACCGTAAAACACTATTTTGTATTCCATACAGTTTAATAATCCTGTGGAAAGCAATTTTTCCATTTTAGATCCTGACCCTGAAAAGGAAGACATGAGGTGGCCAAAAAAGGAAAAATAAAAGAAAAAAGATGGAAACTAATGAAAAGGGAGATAATTTTTCTCTTCTGTGTTTTAGCAAATGCTTGAATTAAGAGTTGTAGAGTGTTTGTCATAATTTTTTTGTTCATATTGATTCACTCATCTGTAGTTACTATTGTTCACACAGTCATCTGTCTTCAGGAGTTTATGAATAGAACAGAACCTTGTGAATCTTAATTCCCTGAATTCTTTGGTATGTTGGAAGAAAAGCCTCCGCAGTGTTACACAGATAATAAGCTAAAAATTAAAATGTTGAACAGTAGTTATGAATCAGCTTCAGAAAGCTCAACAAATTTTCTAGGCTAGTTTAGAAAGACACCTCTGAAGATACCTTATAAAGTATATGAATATAAAGTAGAATATATAAGACTATTGCTAAAGACCAGAAAAGTAATTTAAAATAAAACAAGATTATGCAGTTTAAGGCTGCATCCATGTGTCCCCTTGTTGTGACTGTTCGATGTATGTATATTTGACAATTATCAGCATACCCTGTTCTGACACACAAGCAAAAGATGGGAATAGCAGCTTCATTAACCTGAAAATTCTATCAACTCAAACTGCTTAATGCTCTTCCTTCATATGTAGCTTTCACCTCTGCTCCTGACCTTTAGATTAATATGACTGGTCATTTCAAAAGCCATTATAAAATCATTCCCTTTGCTGGGGTACTGTCTTAAGAAGGATGCTCCATTCAAATCCTGGGGATCAGTGCTAGAGACAGGTGGAGCTTCCTGCAGTTCTCCTGTCCCTGGTGACACTGACATATTGCCACTCCAGTCTCAGTGCCCGATGGGAGGTGACTGCAGCGCTTGGAGCATTTTCTCTTCCCCGACTCCTGTCATCCCCCTCGTACTTGTGCCCCTACAGTGCTGGCACCCAACACTGCTCCTGGCTCCATGTCATGGGCCATGTCTCCTCCCAGTATGCAGCATATGTCCATCCCAGGCTCTGATTTGCAAAGGGCTCTACTTTTTCAGCCTATAACTGCCTGGTTTAAATCCCAACCTCCCTGACTCATGGCTAGTCCAGTCTCCTGATTCTAGTTTTTCTATCCCCTTGCCTAAACTCTTTTTCTGTTCCCTGCTAACTCTGGCAGCAGCACAGTCACCCAAACACCTGAAAAAAGTATAGTTGGGCAGGATTCTTTCCTTCTTATATTAATCACAACAAAATTTTAAGTACTTTAAACTCCTGGAATTTTGAGAGCTGAAAGAAAGAATCTTTGAAAATGTGTAAGTTTTTTTAAAAAAAACAAACCAAACCAGCTTTTTAGGTAGCCAAATAGCCAAATTTTACATCTTCCTTTTTTATCAGTTGCTTGCTAGATTTATACAGAATTGGTTCTGCATGACAACTTTTATCTGCCTTAGTCTTGGCAAAAGAAAAGAGACAGAAGACTCAAATACCTTAGGAATCAGAAGTAGCCCAACAGTGACTGTCACAGTCAAATGTGTGTGTGCAAAGAACAGCATCACCATCCAGTCAGACTGAAGTCTTGAAACAAGAATGAATCTGAAAATAGAATTCAGGTTTGCAATTCACTGCGTTTTCTCCAGTGCATTAGATTTAATATCTTTAATGTTCCTTAGGTTTCTTTTCATTGAATGGCCAAACACAACTGGTTTTGTTCTGTACTGCTTTCATAAAGACTAAAAATTACATCCACATGCTTTTTCTATATACCACATTTCAAAACAACTCAGAAAAAACCCAATCAACAAATCAAAATATAAAAAGAAATAACAGACCTTAAGTGATACTGCTTATTCCATCTTTCTCACTGTATTGAGCTGTCTTTTCGTTTGGTTTATATTGTCACAGTTTCTCTAGCCTGAGCTGAGTTATGGCAGCTTACATACATTAAGGATGTGAAGGGATGATTTTAGGTTAAGTAAGCACACGTACTATGATAAATTGCAGTGCACTTCATAAACACAGGATGTCCACAGATCGCAGCTACCAAGTACAGCTGATAAGCCATCAAAGAGAGAACTGAACTGAAATGCATTTTAGTGGGGAGCAGAGAAATGATCTTGACTGCAGGACCGCCCAGCTCACTGCTGCGGGGCCCAAGAGCCTTGTGAATGCTTAGAAATGAGTGGCTGAACCTCCCAAACAAAACAGTTCCTTGCTGAGCTTTCTATAAGGGTGGTAGAACAAGCAGTGCAGGTAAAGCTAGCTGGAGCATGCTTGGCTTGTCTGCTTTAGTGAGCTCCCAAAGATAGAAAGAGTAAGCAATGCAATGGATGAATGGATGTACCGCTGGCTTGCAATTTGCAGGTTTACAAAAATCATTCAGACAGAAATGACATTTGCAACTTATCCAAGTTCACAGATGCACATTTTGCAGAAGCTTTTGTTAACAGAAATAGTCTGGCATGAAACACTGGTTTATATGCTGCAATAATACAGTCATAATTACTTGTTTAATACTTTGTAAATGAAATGTTTCATGAACACAATAAAATATTATCATTAATTATTTCTTACAGAGATGTTGCTGTTGGGATGTGCAGGGATATGAGGAGGCTCAGGCCTGAGGTTTAGCTAACTGAACACGAGAACTGATGAAGATGACATGAACTGCTGGATGTTACAGTGAACAAAAGTTAGAGGGATGGCAAGATTTCACAGGTGGTTAACAGGGAGTCATTTGAAAGATGGCCAAACTTCACAGGTAACTGAAGGATCTTTGAGGGAGTAGAACTTGCAAGGTCACTGGTACCAATGTAACCTATCAGTAACAGCATGTATGACTGTGATTACCCTGCTAATGGCATCACAAATACCAAATTTGAGTACAGATGTAGCAAAACTTGGACCAATCAGAAAAAAATAATGAGGGGTAGATTGTTTATTTGGGAGAAGACAAGAATTGGGACAGATAGATGATAAGGTAGGTGAGGGAAGAACACTGGAGACCTGCACCTGGAAGACCCAAGGTCTCAGCCCGTGCCCAGCTGCAGAGGAGGAACAGGACCAGGCTGTCTGTGTTGGGCCTGTACTGGTCCACGTGGGCAGCCACGTGCTGTGTGTGACTGCACTGCAGCGGATGTGCTCAATCTGCAAATGGAAACAGTGGCAGCCAGATCCATCAGACAGCCAGGAAAAAGCACCCACATCATGATGCCCACTGGATTTGTTTAACCCTGAACAGATCCAACCCTCAAATTCTGTGAAGGTTTTCTGCTTGTTTTATGCATGAGATCTTGACGGATTAAGGTATATGTGCCATACAATACCTCTGAAAGCAAAATAGCGCTTGTGGTATCCATTCAGTCCTACAGAGATGGGGTTTCTATTTGAATGAGATTTTTTCCATATAAATTTGGGGTTTGTCTGTAATATAAGAGAAAGAGTAACACAGGAATTTAATACTGTGCTGATCTGAAGATAATCCAGAATCCTCTTTTTCTGAAATGGGAATATTTTAAAAGGAAAACAAAATGCAAACAGTTCAAGGTTTTATTTAGTGCTCACATCAATCTTCTATGAGCTTCGGGAGTTTTTAAACTGGATGGTTGCCTTGTAGGTGTCCTTCAAGGCTCCAGTGCTTTCAACTTCATGACAACTCAGATATGTCATATAAATCTGAGTCCTACATATCCACCCTTTCAACTGCATCCAGAACTTGGCAGGGAAGATGAAAGCAAAAAAAAAAAAAAAAAAAAAGGAAATAGACTAAAACTTGTATGCAGAAATGGACATAATCTCAGGAGGGATTGTGTGAATTTTATTAATTCCTATCCATAAACACTACATGATTCTTCTTCAACAAATCAGCATGTATCATACAGATGGCAAAGAATCAATACAAAATGTACACTAAAAAAAAAAAGAAGAACAAGATCAGCAGACCTTAGGCTGGAGGCACAGGACTGTCAATAAGATAAACTGAAAGACCTAATCCTTTTCTGTCTCCTTCATAAAGCATGTATTAAAATGCCATATTTTCCTATTTTTCCCTTTTCCCCTCTCTTTAATCCAAGATTACTTTCATCCTGCTCTATTGTTAAAAGAAACTTGCAGCCCACATAATAGGTCTCCTAGTGCACTGAACTGTATCTTCTAACATGGCCCAAAATACAGTTTAGGAATATTAATTAAGGGGGGGGGGGGGAATTGACTGAGAAGTTGTCATATTGGTTATAATAAATTCAAAAGTATTTTAACTGAATTTTACATCCACTAGGAATTAAAAAAATGCTTTCATCAAATATAGATTTTAAACAATAGCTTTTGCAGATGTTTGTGATAGGGAGTAAAGATTTTGAGAGTATGTGGATGTTGAGACACAGGGTTAAAAGAAGGGGAAGAAAAAAAAAAAGTTGCAAGTCTGAAAAATGCAGTGAACTGTATGACAACGATAAGGGAAAAGAGTACCAGGAAAGAACTGAGATGAAGGATTTGCTTTGCTGATGTTTACTCAGAAGAAAACATGAAAGCAAACAGCAAGAAGACAGAGAGAAATGTGAATACCAAGACAGACCAAGGAACAGAGAAGAGTATTTGAAGACTGTCAATTAAGCAATGCAAAAAAAAATAATCTTAGTAGATAAGATCTGTCAGGAGGCAAAGGGAGGTGTGAGAACATCGTAAGAAAGTCTTAAGAGGTTTTACAGGATGAGATGAAACTCATGTTATCTTGCTATTTTGCATTTTCTAGGACCAATTCATTTTTACAGGGTACTCTGTAGGAAAGGAATATATAGCAATTTTCATGTAGCTCTAGACCCTTATTACCCAAATACTACCCAAATAGTTTAGAAGTATGAAATGTAGAGCTCATTACAGACTTTAGAAGAAACATGGGCTTTATATTACTAATATACCATCATAGGCATAACAATATTTTTATGTCAGCATATAAAACACTATGCTTCATGCCCAAACCAGTACAGTTATCTTAATATATAGCTGCAGCTCACCAATCTGTTATACACCAGGAAAAGTTCATATAAACCAACATTCTTACCTGCTGTTTTTCTAGGGGTACAAAACAGTAAGCAGTATGTAGATGACTGAAGACAGATAGCAGTTTTGCTATACCTAATTTATCATATACCTAATTTATCAGCTATATTGAAAAAAAACCCTAAGTATATAATTTCATACTCTTGAATCCCATGGGAACATTTTTAAGTTTAGCAATCTCTTAATTAGCAGAAACATATTTATAAGACCTTCCATTATGCATCCTATCCCATTCACCCATTTTAAGTTGTACCATATGAAACGTGAAAGATAAATAGTTAATTACTAGATCTACAGATCACTTGCCTAATTGTATGGAATATAGCAGAGATAATGAGCTCATTGTGAACTGCAACAGCCATATAACGTGGCTCATGAAATGCTGATGGGACTGTCCGCACTGCATAGCAGAGATAAACACCCCACAAGAGGAATAAAAATTCAGCTGTGAGAAGAACAAAAAGAAATAATTTGCAATTAGTTTTATAGATGGAAGGAAATGTGAAGTACTACAGCATCTTCTGTATGTGTGAGTATCTATGCAAAGACAATACACATGTACATAGGCACACACATAGGCATTTAAACTCTTTCAGGTACTGTTACAGTACATCATACATTTGGTTTTAATTTTACACACTTTTTTCCAGATCAGGAACCTTTACATTTATGGTGTTTCAGTTTTTCAATTGACAAACTTTAAGACAATGTCTAATAATGTCTTGCTTGCTTTTATATTTGGTACTACAGAAGTTTGACATCATTTCAAATAGCAAGTATTTTTAATTGCAGGTCTGGTTCTTGTTATAGAGGCAGATACTGGTGCTATTACTAGACTGTGCTTTTTAAGACAACACTTTCATTTCAAAGGTTTATAACTCAGATATAACAATATATTTGGGTTTAAAAAATTCCTTTGTTCATGGTAATTAATTCTGCTGGTACCCATTATACGATGAGTCACTTCTGAGGGTCTAATGCAATTGCAACAAATGACGTGTTTCTGTTAGGAGAAAAATGAGTAAGGGAAGAAAGAAGAAAGAGTAAAGGGTCAAGATCATCTTAAATTATCTGGTTAGAGCTAACTCATCTGCACCCAGCAGTATGCTGACTTCAGTTTCCACTGGACAGTCTGATGTGACATCATTTTGATTTTGATACAAATGAGGTGATTTCCTACCCATCTTGAAAAAACTCTCAGAAAAAAAAAACAACCCACAGGTCTGCCATGTGGTTATGAATAGAGCTGGTGCCTGTCCCTCTTGCCTTCCAGCCTGGGTGACAAAGGCTGAAAGTGTTTGAGTGTCATCCAGAAATGTGCAGTTCCATGTTAGGTCAGCATTACTCCAGGCCAGCTTCAGAAACTGAGTGTGATCCTGTTGTTACTCATACACTGCTTTTGCCTTGTTGAATTTTAGCAGTAAAAGCTACAATCAAATGTAGTATAATAGAAAATTATTTCTTTTTCATACTTACTTTTGCCAAAAAATGTTATTATACTGTAACTAAAACCAGTGATCAGTGACATCACTCTGTGGTAGTGGTCAGCAAATAATTACTGGTCTGATTTAGATAAGCACACAAAAGCTTGTGAACCCCACCATTATCAACAAACTGAAATAAAACATCAGTACTGGATATCTCATGAGAAAACATCCTCTGGTTTCTCCACTTTTAGTAGTACACAGCTGCTGTAAATTACCTATATTATATTGTTATATAATTTTGAAATTTCTAATTTTGCTATTAATTTCATGTAAAATCAGTAAGAGACAAGTCTGGATAAAATGAATTCAGTTACATAGATCTCACTGTGCTGTGATAAGAGTTCAGTTTGAACTCTGAACAACACTTTGCATGTTTCTTAATGAAAAATAGATGGCCTCGCTCCGAGATCGTTGCTGTTACTTGATCATATCCTTCAGACACCCGGCAGCCCTACCAGTTACATAAACCCAAACATGTGAAGAGGCACAATCCAGGCATATTGCTGTTTTTATGTTCTTCCTCACCAAAATCCCAACAATAATAAACCTTTTTATCTTTTGACTAAGTAATAGTTTGACTTGGGACCTTACTGAGTGTCAAAATGAAAAAAGCATGGTATGAATCTTCTGAGACTATGTGTCCTAGCCTGGTTTTGAGCTCAACAAAAGTATATATGCAGGTATGTTTTTCCCACATCCCCCATACACTCACTGCCTGGGCAAACTGGCTGCTACTTCCATTTCATTCCTAAAAAATTAGCTATGCTACCAAAGAAGTCTGTTACTTTGGTTTCCTAAAACCTCCTACGCAGAATGACCTATCAAGACATCTTGTTCCTAAAGTCTTTCCTGGCCAAGTGGAATACGAATTTTGCTTCCATGAAATAATACTAAAGGCTCTTTTACAGATGTTAGCAGTTTGTTTTTTCTTTTCCTTTAAGTACTTGCCTTGCATATGCAGAATCATGGCACTGAAATGTACTGCTCTTCAAAGCACTGTAATTTATTGCTTTAATTGCTCTGTAATAATTTAGAAGAAATTGAAAAGCAGAAAATGGTTAGAATTAGGCTGCTAAAGCCAAATCACTCTATCTTACTGTCCTATCTTCTGTGGAAACCCTTATTAATACGGCTCAGCAGGAACCCCCTGAACATGCCAGAAAACCTATTTCTTAATATTTTACCTTTCATCCAAACTCCCCCTGCTCCCCAAAATGAGCAGCAGAACTGAACAGACAAGCTAATTACGAAATAACAGGCATACTCCACAAAACTACCCGTGGTCCATTCTTCTTTCTCAGCTGAAGTGAGAAGAGCTCAAGTCTCTTACTGACTGAAAAGTTCAGTTACAAGTGCTAACAGAGGCTGAGAGCTTGAAAAGGTTTGGCTTTTAAAGGTATAAAAATTCCCATATAAACCTTCATGTGCTGAAGGTATTCTTAATTAAGAAGTGTGGGCCGAATCTTGCTTATTTTTACAAGAAAAAAACCCCTACTCTAAGTTGGAAGATTTACAAGAATTATCTTTTTTGTATACAGAGCAAATGAAAATGAAAAAGCCACACTTCCATTGAAAAAACCACACACAACCCTAACATTTCATTTAGCTGGGCTGAGTAGGAAGGCAGGTAGCATTTGATCTCCAGATCTGATTAATTCTGAAAATTTCACAGTTTTCAGTTTCACAATCATAGTTACAAGGAGTTCCTAAGACAACAAGGGGCAATTTCAAAGCATTAACATACTGAAGCATAACAGTAGCTTGCACCATTCAGTGCATAATGCTTTTAGAAAAGCTTTACATATAGAGCAGAGATGGCACTCTTGTCTGCAGATAATAATTAGTGTGACATCTGGTATGCAACACAAATAGGGAATAGCTCTTAAAACACAAGGTAAAATAACAGAGTTCCTTTACTTGCTAAGCCCAACATTACAATAATTTCATTAGCAATGACAAAACAAAACAGACTGATAGAAGACCAATTTATTATCTAAACCACTAATTAAACAGCTTAAATGTATAATGTAAAAGCTGTGCTTGAGGGGGGAAATCAAGTACCTATAATTAGCTACAGACTATTAGTGCAATTTGTAACAAAAATCTGAAGGAATATCTTAGCATACTGCATACCTGTCAAGACCAAACTCAAAGCTCAAAACACATGATCTCGTTCCTATAAGTAAGATTTATCACAAGGCTTATAAATTACCACATTTTACATATTAAGCACAAAAGCAAGAAAACCTTCTTTTCCCCTCCCGAAAAATTACGGAAATTCCTAGGAGAGAGTGTTGTCAACAGCTCTCTGGACAGAAAATGTGGAGTCAAAACAACAAAGCATAAAAGAGCTCTGCAAAAACCTGCAGTAGCTACTCTTTGACTGTCCAAACCAGGCATTCGGATGTCAGGAGAAAATCTCTGAGAGATAAGAGGTTAAGAAAAGGCGTAATTCCTTTAAAGGCATAAATGGATGTAGATGTGAATGGAAGGTAGGAGATGAAAATGTAAAGTGACCTCAATATGTCATGTGCATAAATGAATTAATCTTTAAATTTAATCTCTCTTCCTAGTCACTACCTACTTCTTATCCACAGAACCTCTTATCTGGTCTTTGCATTATCTAATCAACCTGCTTAATATATTCTCTGGTGCTTATAAAGCAAAAGTCTTCCTTGTCTTTGTGATGCTGATCATGTTTTTAGAAAACGAAGCAATTTGGAATACTCAGCTTGATCATCCAATATACTGGGCCAGATTCATGTCTGATGCCACTGGCCTGTTACAATGAAGAGTGTGCCATGTCTGCTCACTTGACATTTGTTTAGGCCATTGCTCATATTCTGCATCTTCTGATACTGAAGGACAATTATATATGTTCACAGTTTGTGATACGTATCTGTTGTTAGAAAAGGACAGCTTCAGGGTTGTTATTATTGACTCAAACAAACTTTCTCAGAAAATCTGGGTTAATATATTTACTAGGTTTTGCTAAACATGCAGTTGTCTGTATTGCAAATTGTTCTTTCATATTTAAAACCAGTACAAGGTGAAGCTGTGTCCAGAGTCTGTGACGTTTTCTTTCAGTGTCCATCAGCCATGCTGTGTCATGCCTTGCATGGTACAGTGTGTGCAGCCTGACCTGTGCCCACCTCTCCAGCCCCCAGCAGAAGGAAATCCCCACGTTAAACCATAGCCACTTCCATTGCCTGCTCTGCAGATGTCTGTACTTCATCTGAGAGCACAGAACTACAGAGCAAGATATGACAAACTGAGAGCGGTGATCGAAGTCACTGTCCTCTCTTTAAATATTGAAAAAAGTCATTGAGATTCATATAAGGAAACATGAAAAACCAAGAAATGTGAAGATGGACCTTGGAACATGGCTTACACACCAGTTCTTCTCAGAGGCCTTAGCAAAGTACTTCATCCTTACTTCTACAGCTTTACTGCCTAAGAACAGGACAGTACCAAATAAAAATACCACACATGCAGCCTTACGTTGCTCTGTTTTGCATATATAGTTTTCAGTTAACACTATCATTTCTTAAGAGACCAGACTTATTTAACGCATGTGACAGAGTATTTCCAGGGATAAATCAAGGTTGGCTAATGAAGAAATCTCTGTAATTTGTTGCAAATAACATCTAGATGTCTAGTGAATGAGAGGAAAGACTGCAGGGTGGGGAAAACCAGTCTAGTGCACATGCACAACTGAATTCTAACTTTGCCTGTGCCTCAAGCTTTTATGCATATGAAAAAAAAACCCACTCAAGGTCCCCATTGAATCCAAACTTTGCAGAGGTGATCACAGAGAGAATTTTTCTTGCTATTTGGGTGCCAAACAAGGCATTTTTGCTGCAATTTGCAGCAGAACTAAGCATGCAGGGCTGTATTTGTAGCCAGTGAGACCATACATAAGGTTATATATAGATTTGACTAAGCTCTGTAACTGAGC